ACAGCAGCTCGGACTCAGGCGCGGTGCCCTGCTGCCAGGATGTGCCAGTGGTGGTGCCACACACGAGCTGTGCAGGACCCCGGCTCCCCTGCTGGACACCTGGACTCCGTCACAGCTCTCTTGGTGCTGCGACCTCCATAGCCATAACCCGGGGCCGGCCTGCTGAAGGACGAGCTGAGTTAATAGATGTTAAGTGCTTGGAACAGCGCCTCGCACGTAGGAAGTGTTGTAAAATGTTATTAAATGCATAAAAATGCATGAATTTGCTACGCGTAATTCAAGCTGGCTTAAGCTAAAAGAGATTTCTTTGGCCGGCGTTCGGGGATGCGTGCAGACCCACAGATGTGCGTGGCAGCGTCAGGTCGCTGCCTTCCTCTGGGCTTCCTTTGCTTGGCACCATCCTGGACACTCATTCCCCAAGGAGACAGAGACCACCGTAGCTCCGTTGTCTCCAGGTGCCACCCCAGCAGCTCTACGGCCCACAAGAGCTCCTTGCCTCGTACCCAAGAGTTCAGCAGAAGTCTCCCGAGGAGTTTGGTCCCACTGCTTGTTGGGTCCACACACGTCTTCTGACACACTGTTATCAGGGATCGCCCTGATAAAAATCTAAGGGCTGCTCCCCCAACAGAGCGGAAGGGATGGATGCTGGAGAAGACCGGCAGTGGCCGCTTTCCGGGCAACCTGGCTTCCTGTGGTGGGCAGAACCTGTGTAGGGGAGGTGCACTGCGGAGCCTGGCATGCGGGAGGTGGAGACAGAGGGCCTTGAGCTCTGCCGTCTGTAGCTGTAGAATCTCGAAGCCAGGGTGGCTCACTCAAGCTCAAAGGTCTGAGGACCTGGGAGCTCATGGTCCGACTCCCAGGCCAAGGCCTGAGAACAGAGGGACCCTCATGCAGGACATGGGGTGTGCAAGTGTCAGAGCAGGACAAGAGGGCCTCAGTGGAGGCCATGCCTTGCTCCACTGTTCTCCTTGGTGGTGGCCCAGAGTGGACAGAGGTGATACCGGGGAGAGGTGATCTTCACCACGGCTGCTGGTGAAGTCACCTGCCCCAGACACTCGGGGCAATGCTTCAGCGGCTCCTCCCCGACCCTGCTGAGCCAGTGACTATAGCTCCCCATCTCCCTGTTTCCAGGCATTGCACAGGGCGCACACTTACAGACACTTGGGGCCTTTTCTGCATGACACCTCGGTGTCTTGGAAAGGATTCTGTGAGCCCAGGGCTCTGCCCACTACACCCAGTGGGGTGAACACAGCTGGGCGGGAGGCCGGGCCCACTTGAGGAGCAGCCCCTAGTGCCCAGGAGCTGCCTGGCTGAGGTCACACCATCCTCCTGGCCCAGGGTGGTAGGATCCTCAAGACTCTCTGGGCCCTGCGGCCAGGGCTTGGCAATCTTGGCACAGGTCTCCCTGGACTGGCTCTGCCGAGTATGGGCTCCCACTGCAGCTTCCAGAGCAAACTGCCTCCCTGATGCTCGTGCAAGATTGCAGGCTGGAAGCACAGGCTGCGCCTGGGTGATGCGGAAAGTCAGACTCCCTGGCCCCGCCTGCAGCCCTGCCCAGCGGGAGCCCACTCCTCAGCACAATCTCTGCACAGAAACAGAGTGGAACACTGCTGTGAGCACGTGTGTAAACCCGGGAGGCCTGGGACCAGACTCAGGAGGTCTCCGTGGCGATGCCTACGCTCAGACGGCACAGCCGGGTGCAGGGACCCAGGTTTGCAGCTGCCCGACCCATGCTGGCCGTTATGGGAAAGACCCTGGTGGCGTCTCCACCTTGGCCCTCACCACGGTCACCAGGAGCTTCAGAAACACAGGCTCTGAGCGTCCCGCGGGAGGAGCAGACGCCAGGTGATTCTAGCTGCAGCCCATGTGGACAGCCAATGGCCTTTGCTCAGGTTCTGAGGGAAGGCGAGTCAACCCGATATAATATTAATCATTAATTATACTATTAATATATTAAATATTACTTCTTCCTAGTAGATGAATCCTTGATCATGACAAATCACCTTTCCTTAGTAACCCTGTCACCCGGAAGTCTCTTCCCCTCATAGTAATGTCGCTGCAGGGCGTGCTTCCCCTTAGCTGGCAGTTTTGTGCCATATTTCCCATCCTTTGATTTTTTCTTTTTGGTTCTTCATTTTTGTTTTTGAAACAGCCTTGCTAGGTAGCCCAGGGTGGCCTTGAACTTGTGACTCTCCTGTCTCAGCCTCCTGACAGCTGGGCTGATAGGAATGTGCCAGCACAGTTAAACTTTTTGTATTCTTGTTTTACATCACTTGAGTGTTTACACGTCTCTGTCCTTTAATTAGAGCATCTGACCTGTCCATGTTTAATGTAACTGCCAGTCAAGTGGGACGCCAGTATTTAACCACCCCAGGGGACTGGTTGGAGGCTGCAGTTCTCACAAAGACCATGAGGGGGCGCCCTAGGGCAGGTGGCGCCCGCAGCCCAGGAGGAACCCCGGGGTGGGATTGCATGTCAGGGTTCCAGGCTGACCTGCCCTGAGCACAGGGCTCTCCTGCAGGCTCTGAGCGTGAGGGGAACAGTGTGAGGCTGGGGAGCAGGGGCTGGGGGTGCATTTGGCTGGGATCGGCCCTCTGCTGTTGGCACGGCAGCCACGGCTGGTTTCCTCTCCCTGCCCGCCTTCCGTTGCTACTTCTGTCTGCCCTCTCTAGCTGTTTAGAGTGCTGCCTCCTGTCTGTCCTTAGGTGACCGCCCTAGCAATGACCTCCCGCATCCTCCGCTTCTTATCAGTGTGTTTACTATCTCCCTCCCCGGCCCGGCCTGCCCGCTACCCCGAGTCCAGGGAGCCTTTCGGCCACACATGGGTCCTAGCCTGGGATGCTGTCCCCATTGACACTCAGCACCTTCCCCTCTCAGCTTCCACAGCTCCGTGCCACCCGGGCACATTCTCCCTTGGCTTAAACCCCATGCCTCAGTTTCCCTCAGGGACGGTCCCTGCCTCGGCTGTGAGCCAGTGGTTTTGCCTGCACAGAGTGCATTCCATCAGCAGCTGAAGACACTGCTCAGCTCTGTCGGGACGATGAGATCTACCCTGCGCTTGTCCACCTGGGCCGAGGTGTCTGTCTTTCTGAAGTTCCGGTTCTGAGTCCCAGCCCAGAGCTCTCTGATTTATCCTGTGGGTCGTCCACACCTGCGGTTTGGTGATCTGGCATCTTTCTGAAGCACCGTTTCCCGCCACAGGGCTCTGCTGGGTCCCCTCCGATGCCGCTGTGACGCTGGGACACCTCCACCTCGGGTCTCGCAGCTCCAGGGTCACCCTTCAGCTGTGCCCTCTTCTCGTAACACCTTTCCAGCATGGCACTCCCACTCTCCGTGGCTGCTATAGTCTTTCCCTGCAAGAATCTGTTTTTAAACTTTTTGTCCCTTTTGACAGCTTCAAGTTCTCTGAAGAAAGATTTTACATATATATATGATTTTTTTCTTTTCTTGAGGTAGGATCTCACCACATGGTTCAAGCTGGCCTTGAACACACCATGCAGTCCAGTCTGTTCTTAAACTTTTGGCAATTCCCCTGCCTCGGCCTCCTGACTGCTGGGATTACAGGCATGCACCACCAGGCCTGACACCTGAAGATATTTCCAAACCTGGCATTATCCACCCCGATACATTTTCCCCATTAATAATCTGCTCCTGGCGAGCCCAGTGTCCACTGTGCCTGCCTCCTCTGCTGGGCACCTGTGTCTGCTTCTCTGGGCTGTGTGCTGGCTGCAGTGCCCAGGGCTGTGACCCCTTGAAGCCCCGGGTAAAAGTGTCTTCCTCTCCACGGCATCTGCCCTCACCTCTGGCGCAGGGGTTCCACCACACCAGGTTTCACGCTCCAGGCTTCTGGAAGACCTGGTATCCCGACTGTGTCCCACCCTGCCCGGATCTGTGAGGCCTCACCTGAGTCTGACTCACGTCACCTTGAAGAGTGGCCTTTGGGGTCTCCTCCTGGTCCGGGAAGGGCCTGCATCATCACTGCTGTACTAGAAGTGGTCCTGCCCCTCCTCCGGGCTATGACAACGCTTTTCAAATGTGTGTGACTTAGCAAAATTCCCAGGACGCAGCTGGCCTTTGTGTTCATTTATCTCCCTGGGGTCCAGTCCCCGTCTTCCTGGTAACCTCTGCTGTCCGCCAGGTCTTTGCCCATTATAATATGGGAAACCACCTTTAAAGTGGCTTCAGTGGACACCATGACCCGAGTAACCTGTCCACTGCTACTGGAAACAGAAAGCCGCCCATGTCCCTCTTGGCCCAGTGTGGGCACTCAGTGAGTGACTTCTAGGTCAACTGTACAACCATAATTTGCCAACGAGCCGCACCATGGCCCTGTGTTCACAGGCAGGGACGCTCTTCCTAAGCACGAGCTTCTTCTTCCCACCCCACCCGAGGGGGCCACATCCTTCCTCAAACACCACTGTGTCCACCAGTTCCATTCCCGCCATCCCAAATCTGAGTCCCCCTCCTGCCCACAGGAACCCTCATCAAACCAGAGCCTGGGCTCCTTCCTGGGGTGCTGGCGAGACTGCACACACAGCCTTGCTCTGGTGGCCCTGTGCGCACGCGGTCATTTCTGGCTGTGACGAGTCCCTGCCTGTCCTGTCCAGCCCTGCAGCCTCTGAAACTCTCAAGTCCAGTACCTTCAGGTCTGGTGGTCCAGGGACTCTGAACCGAAACCTGTGCACTGTGGGAAGTGGGTTCAGTGCCTTCCCTCAGACCTCTAAATTTGCCCACCTTCAGGGCAGCCTGGACCACCCCCAGGGGAGCTGGGGAAAACACTGCAGCCCCCACAGCGGTGCAGCTGTCACCACGCTTCGAGACAAGAGCAAGGGGCAAGGCCACGCAGCAGAGGGGACCAGGGCTCCACCGCAGGCCTCAGCCTCGCTCTGCACATCGCAGTCTGGCCTGGCCGTGTGTGAACAGCAACACCCGGATGGGGCAGACACCCCGAAGGAGGTCCTGCAGCTCTTGGGAGGCCCCTGGACCTCCACGCCACTTACCTCACTACCTTGGTGCCGTTCCTCACCGCCTGCATGTCCACCATGCAGCCCCCCGTGACGTAGGCGGCCAGGTTCAGCTCGGAGAACTCCGCCTGGAGGAGAAGCGCACAGAGGAAAGGGCTGTCACACTCGGGCGCAGTGACGGCTGCCAACACGCGCTCGGTGCCTCCTCCTCAGGTCACCTTGGCCAGGCTGTCCGAGCTCCTCCTGACTGACAGGATCACCAAGGTGCAGAGGGGCTGTGACACTTTTGAGGCCGCACAGTGGGTGGGAGACAACATCGCACCGAACCCTCAGGTCTCTCACCCACAAGCCGAACTCTCACCCTGGCATTTCTGACCCTGAGGGTGGAGGAAGCCATTCCAGCTGGGTGACCTTGAGATGCCAAACGCCAGCCGTGGCACAGCGTCTGCACCCTGCCTGTACGGCAGTGTGGTGGCTTTGTGGCTCGGGGACCACAGCACCTCTCCCTCCTCACCCAGGGGTCCGCAGAGCTAGGTCTGTGCCCTTCAGCTCACAGCTGATGGGGTGAGGATGTGACCCGGGAGGCAGGAATGAGGTTCCCTCCCGAGAATCTTCAGTCCTCCCAGAACGGCTGTCGTCAATGCACACGTGGGACTGTGTTTCCTGCTAGTTGTGCTGGGGAAGCACAGAGGACCACAGTGGAGGTGGCAAGGGAAAGACAGAGTGGGATCTGGGATCGGGAGGAGGAGAGGGATGGACAGACGGAGAGGGAGGGAGGTCAAGATCTCCGAGCAAGGCCAGGCAGGATTCCTCTGGGTGCTCCTCTACAGCTACCAAGCTGCCTGTGGGTCTTGCGACTCAGCTTTGCTCGAGTATTTGTGTGACTGGGCAGGCGTTCACAAGTCTCTGCCCTGTCCCACACCCCCATGGGCTGCTCCCCGGGGAGACAGCACTGCTGTGGCCATCTGCATTTCGATCTCCTCGGGCTGCTGTATGAAGGGCCATCGCCCAGCGCTCAGTGCAAAGTACTCTGTGCAGAGCTGAGGCGGGAAGCTGGCGATCTCCGAGGTAGCAGCGCTGGTTTCTTCTCCTCCTGAGCTCTGCCCATGTCTTCCTGTGTGAGCCCCGCACCCCGTGCTCCCCTCTCTGAGGACAACGGTCCTGCAGGTGCGCTCCCATGTCCATGATCTCGTTCAGACCCGATCGCCTCTTTAAAGAGCCGTCTCCGAATCAGGCTGCCCTCTGAGGAACTGGCTTCAGCACAGGAGTTTGGGGCGGTGACAGCGACCTGTAACACTGTCACCTGCAGGGCACAGCAGAGGTCAACGGCATTTCTTGGCTGTGCCACAGAGACTGCCCATGTGTGCAAAGCCCATCTGTGCAACACAGCCCAAGCGTCTCACGTGTGTGAGCCCATTTACTGTGCAGGTGTCCAGAGGGGGAAACGGAGGCAGGACCCAATACGGGGTCCCCATCAGATGGCAGGCAGCAGAGCCCGTCTTGGAGCCCAGCACTTCGCTGTCTGTCGCATCCCACTGCCTTGACATTCAGCTTAAATGGATTATAGCTGGGAATTTCAGGACTCAAAAATAACCCAGTGAAAGAGAGAAGGGGTGGGTGCTTCCTGCCAGGCCATTCAAACACCTCCCCCGGGGTCATTTGGCAGCAATTATGAGCAAAGACCTGGCACCCTCTGAAGATACCATCACACTCGCTGCAGCTCTAATTAATGGCCTGGCTGAGCTGTGTCGGGTGCGGGAAGGGCACTCTTAATGAGCCTGGGTCGGTCAGTGGTGATAATGGCCTCGTTACGAGGTCTAACGTCCTCAGATTCACCCGGTGCACCCGACTGGCGAGATCACACAGAGCTACACTGTTGCTTGTGTGTGGCACAGAAAAGAAGTTAAAAGAAAATTGCAAAGCAGGAGGGCTGGGCACCAAGCAGATGGTGGAAGGGAGTGAATTTGAGTCTCACAGAACCAGGGGCTGTCTCGCAGCCCAGACAGGAGATACACACGGCCCCAGGCACCAAGCCAGAGTTCATCTGTACCACTCCGGGATCCGGAGCCGCTTCCCAGCCAGGCTATGGGCCAGCAGGAGGCCAGCGTCGGTCCCAGGGCAGCCAGTGTGTGCAGCAGTGAAGGAAGCGGGCTCCTCTGGGTGGATGGCGCTGTCAGCATCGCTGAGGTCTCCTGCATGTGTTGCCCGCACAATCATGTTGGGGTCAGCTGCTGGGGTGGGACATTCTTCGGAACAGGACGTGTCGGGCAGCTTGGAGTGGACAAAGGCAGGCTGGAGAGGCCACACCCCGGTGTGAGCTGGGGTGCCGTTCACCCTACTGCTCTGAACTTCAGCGTTTACACCCTGAAACAGAGGCAATATATCTGCCATTCCTGATCACTACAAGTCTTTGAGGGTGTGTGCGAAAGAGAGCTTGCCCAAGCTGAAACAGGAGAGCCTCTGTCACTACCTGTCACCACGTCTTTGCAATAGCAAACCGAAGGCGTCAAAAATGGTGCAACCAGAAAAGCAGCAGCTGCTTTGGGTATTTACGACATAACTGTCTGTAAAACGTGGAGAGGGGACACGTGCTTACAGCCGTGACATGGTAGCAAGGATGCCATCTGTCTTTGCACGGCTGGGGAAGAGGAGACCATTAAGTGTCAGCTGCCAGTCACTGCACAACAGCATTTGGGAGGGAACTGAGCTGTGACCGCCCTGGGAGACCCAGGGACGGAAGCACAGCCCCGAGGTCTCCTGAGTGGAGGACGCGGAGCTAAGTTCAGGGCACAGAGCGGCATCAAGAGACCTCTTCTGAGCGGCTCCTCAAGGCCTCAGCTGGTTACTAAGCTCGGACCTCAGGTGGGGGAGCAGCCATGGTTCTGCAGCCTGCAAGCCTGCTCGGGGCTGGGGTGTCCTGTTCCCAGAGGTTAGAGGGCGAGGACTCGGCGTCCAAGCAGGGCCCTCGGAACACAGCAATGAGGTTAAAGCCTCCCATCAGCTTGCATTCAGGCCCCAGCTTGCTCAGCCTTAGAACCCAAGGTCCCAATGCCCCAGTTTTAAACCTGGAGTCCCACATCCTGGGTATTTCTGTGGCCCCAGGCAAGCTGGAGTAACCGAGCATTCTCTCTAGCTCTGTCCCATGAGGCTTAAAATCAAGCTGTGAATGGCTCAAGCTTACTCCTAGTAACTTCACAGGAATACAACAAAACCCAGCACGCGGCATGCACCATTTAAAAGTTAAGGCTTTCGGTCACAGACAGCAAGGCACGAGAGGCAGGAAAATACAACCCTAATAGCAAGAGTCACCGGACAGGAACCCGTCGGGAGATGGGAGAGGCAGGAGGCAGTTAAAGGGATCACGACGAGCGTCCATCGCGTTTTCTGGAGTATGGAGGGAGACGTCAGTGTGATGAGGTGAGAGGAGAAAAATATTGCATAAAAGTGGAAAATGGGACTTGCAGAGATTAAGAAAACAGAGGATCCGACAAAGGAATGCGCTGGTGGGATTCACAGTAAATTCACCAGGGCCGAATAAAACGCTGGTGCCAGTGGAGACAGAGCGATAAAAACCACCCGACGTGAGGCAAGAAGCAAAAACACTTTTGAAAAAATATCAGCACCTCTGTGAGCACACAGACACCACAGTCTGGAACGCTGCAGCCTCCGGAGAAGGGGGAGGAGAGGTGACTGAAATTTTTCCATACTTGAAGAAAACTCAAAATCCACAGACCCAAGATACTCGATGAACCTTAAGTGGAAGAAACAAAGAAAAATCTCACCAAGACACACAGTAGTCAGCTTCCTAAAACAGCAGTGCCGAAGAGAAGTCTTCTAAAACAGCGAGGGGTCAATGCACGTCAAATAGAGGACAAAGGTAAGGATTCCAGCAGGCGTCTCGGTAGAAGACAGGGAGCAGACGTGGAGCGACTTCTTTCAAACACCAAGAGAAAAAATAACGCTAACCTAGAATACTATTCCCAGAAAGGCACGGCGCTACCAACGGTAGACATTTTCAAACATCCGTACCTGACACTGACCTGAAGACGCCGTCAGTTTGCTATTGCAAAGACATCGTGACAGGTAGTGCGTGTTAGACCTGACTGCAAGTCACAGAAAGGCTGTAGGAAGTCCTTCTGGCGGGTCAAGGATACCCTCGATCAACACATATACACGTACATGCGTGTGCATGCACACACACACATCCCTGGATGTGGTAAATGTGAGCGGAAACAGAAAGCGTTTTGTTTGAAAACTCCATAGAAGATAATTAGCTGTTCAAAGCAAAATGTAGCACTGGATTATGGGGCTTCATAGCGTTTGTAGAAAGAAAATTGTATAACAGGGACCCCAAAGTCGGGCCTGGGAGCGGGAACCTGCAGCTCGGCAGCTCGCAGCCAGCACGGAGGAGGAACAGTGCTGGCTGACGGCTGCGGTTCTGCTAGGGCAGAGGCGCAGACGTGGAGCTCAGAGTGGGACCTTGACACCTGCTAGAGCACACACGAAATCCACGCGGCAGTGCGTGTGAACTGCAGGCTTGCAGCTTGATGAATTCTAATTCGCATACACTGTGTAATCAGTCCCCAGATGCAGACAGGGAATTTTCTCCAGCCCGCACCCCTACCCACCGCCCCCGGTGCACTGTGCACTCCGGCCCTGAGGTCACCCTGCTGCGGTGCTGAGAGCCTTTGGGTTTCATTTCCCTGCAGTGCTCTTCTTTCTGAACATACGATGATAACAGATTTACGCCTCTGCCCATGGTGCACGTGGGTTATCCCCAGTGGGTGGAGCCTGAGAAGAAGGCTGGGTCCACACTGTGTGCCTGGTGTGGTGGATGGACACAGCCGTTCCCCGGGGCACCCTTGGCGTGGCGCTGCAGGTCCTGTAGGTGGCTGTTCGCCTTCGGAGAACATCAATGAACAGTCTTCCAGAGTGTTCTTCAGAGTGACAGAACTTCAGTGGCTGTATGTTCCCTTCAACACTTGGCGCCGCCGGTATTTGAAATCTCGGTTTCAAGGAGCAAGACTCTAATTACACTGGACAGTCCCTCTCGGGGAGCATTCCTGCAGGTTCTTGGACCAAGGTGTAGTGGTCCTGTGTGTGTGTTGGGGGTACTGGGAAACCCTAG